GGATTTGTGGTCATTAAATACATGTCATCAATGGGCGGGTGTAAGGGGTCCTCCAAAACACCCGATTCAAAGCTAATGTGCATAATATTGGCGTCAGTACTATAAGGTTTGTCGGGGGTGGCGGCAACTTTGAAGCCCTTGGTCTATTTTATTACGGATATTCCAAGTTTTAACATAATTAACCAAAGCATAAAGAATAGAGAAATGTCTATAAATAATGGGTTTACGGCTTACTTTAGCGTATTCTATGAGATCCAGTCGTCCCTGAAATCTGTTATAAAATGAACTCATTCTCCACGGAGTTATACACTGTTTGGGCAATTAATTGAATAAAATTTGAAACTATATTAAATATATGATATTAAGTAAAAATCTTACTTTAATTGTGGAGTCAATGGAAATGCAGGACAATTCAAATCTGATTTGATCGTTGCCTTTACCGGTCGCCCCGTGGGCTATGTATTCGGCGTTCTCTTCATTCGCTACTTTGACAATACCTTTGGAAATACAGGGCCGACATAGGGATGTGCCCAACAGATACCGACCCTGATATATACCTCCATAGGCAAGCGAGGGATAAACAAATTCTGTTACAAATTCCTCGATTCTGTTGTCAACTATTGCCTAAAAATTAATTTTAAAATTTAGAAAGCCATAAATAGGATAATGATAATTTATTCTCATTATTTCTATTCAATTTTTACTTTAATAGCTCCGAGTTTGAGAGCCTGTTGTCTCACTTGTTCCAAGTCTTCCTCCTGTCCCACATCTGCCTAATATTGGGCAACATTTGTGATCAAATGAATTAAAAGATAAAAATGGTTTACTCACTGTATAACAGATCACTTGATATCCCTGTTCTTTAAGCCAAAACAGTATACAAGTGGTGTCCAGACCTCCACTATAGGCTAAAACAACTTTCTTCTGGGTGTTTGAAGACATTTTACAAAAACAGATCACAAAAATTAGATTTAAAACAAAATTCGTTTGCTATTTATATGTCTACAAAATGACATTTGGAAACAATTATCTTATAGACTGATGTTTTTAAATAAATTCAGAAAAATAGTTGATAAGGAATTAGTATTGCTTATCAAAACACTGTTTGTGATAAATATGGACCGGATGTTGCATTGATCTATTGCATAATTTTTATCATCTATAAATTTGTGCGCAAAATATTCAATAAATCGCCAAATTGTCTACTATTTAATATATTTATATCAAAAATATGTATGATAAGAATATTTTTAAAATTATAGTACAAATGCTAACTTCTCCAAAGTAAAATTGTATACCGGTATATTACGGTAGTTTCTATGAATTGAAAACATGCAAACTTATATTCAAGTCAAACATATTCATACGTTATACAGGTTCCCTTATAAATTACAAATGCTAACTTCTCTAAAATAAAATTTACCGGTATATTACGGTAGTTTCTATGAATTGAAAACATGCAAACTTATATTCAAGTCAAACATATTCATACGTTATACAGGTTCCCTTATAAATTACATGTTTAAGAAAAATGATGTGATATTTAAATAATCAGTAATCAACACAAAAAAGTATAAACTTTAAAAAAAGTTGTTGATTATAAGAGCATTCATGGAATAAGTTGTTTACATTTTAATTAGTATTCCTAACGTATCATTAATTGTCTCAGGATTTTTAATTTGTCAATTTCGATATTAAATTTAAATAACACTGTAATAATAAATTGAGGGGAAATTTCATTGATAAATCTGTGGTACACAACAAACTCAAAATGTGAGACAAAACCGAATAAAACCAGTAATCAATGATTAGATAATAATGAATGAAAACCCAATTTATTTGATCTTCAAATTTGATTAAATGTGTGCAAAATATGAGCCAATATTATACATGTTATGAATAATAAGAAATTGTTTTATTTACTAGTTAATCATTAATAGTTAGTTTAGTATTTTGTTGAGAGAAAAAACAAACTATTTTGAAATTGCAGTCACAATAAGTGTTCATTTTTAAAAAATGAATTTAAATTTTAAATACAATACAAATCCAATCAAAGGCGGTATTTACAATAAATTCAAATCTCAATAATTGCTCTCAATTTTACAAAAAAATATGTAAATACTTTAGGAAATAAAAATAATTTTTAAACAATTTATAATAAAAAAGAGATTCAAATACAATGAGAAAAACTAATTTTATCGCAATTAACAAAATAACAAAATCCAAGTCTATAATAAAGTGAGATCTAATTAATCATAAAAACAGAGGTTTTTGGTTAATATTTTTTGTAAATGTATTCAATGACTAGTAAAATAAGCCGTCAATGAGTTTAATATTAATTAAATAGAATAACAAATGAATTGATGTTTAAAATAAGCGATAAAAGAGAGCCAAAAATAACTTTCAAAAAGCAATTATCGAGTCTATAATCAAGACTTTTAAATATCAGATCCAATGGTTAATCAAAAGCAAAAACTTCGCCACAATTTGTATCGCGTGTAAGGAGAGAGTGAATTGAAATTGCAATGAATGGCAACACTAGAGGTCGAGCGCAAGAGTGTTAGAAGAAGTGAGTGGTCGGGTCGGAGCCAAACGAGTCCAACAGTAGGCCCATCGGGGTCTTGGTGATGCCGGCGCTCTCCATAGCGTTGGCCACTTTATTCTTGACATTTCTGGTGCGGAGACTCGCGTGGAGTAGACATAAGAAGAGCGGCAGAAGTATACCAATCAAGAAGACGAGTACAGCGGAGAAGAGGTACACGATTAGAGAGCCGCCGCCAAAGATCAGCATCAATGAGATGATGGGATGCGAGCGCTTGAAGTCCATGAATTGCGGCGAATTGTTATTGGCGTATATGAAGATCGCTATGGCTATCAACAGGGCTAACAATCCCAATAGGATTTGCGTCGGGTTTATGATACTGTTCCCCAACACCACCACACGTCACATGAAATACAAAATCCATAATTAATTCTCATATTTAATGACAAATCCGTTAACTATTCAATGAAACGTTTTTATGCATAAAATGTTATCATTTGTATACTGTATGGCTATAAAAATGATAAAAATTTAAATGCTATACAAAGCAATTGTTTGACATTTATTGTTACTCTTGCCATGAAATACTTGTCTCAACTTTCACTGAATAACAGCTTTCTATGAAAATCATGTGATAAATAAATGCAATATTAATTCACAGAACAATACAATTCTGCATAAATTGGGGGCAAAACTAAAGCCTAAAAGATTAACGACTAGTGTATAAGAAAGTGTATCTAAAACTCGTGAATTATAAATACTTTTGACCCGATTTTCACTGCATTTTGAGTGAAAGCATTGCAAACATAAGTGACTAATGAATGGAAACCAAACACTCTTTTGATACCATTTATCACTAAATCACTAATCAATGCAAACATTTCACACAAACATTGCGTTTGACCACAAAATAGCCAACAAAGTCTATGCACCGGTAGTCTATGACAGGACATCCCTTTCCCATGCACTCCGCGAGCATTGACCACAAAAATAAGACACAAATATAAAAACGTTTCAAAGAATAGCGATTCAGACATTTGGTGGCAAAAGATAAGACAATTTGCGGCCAAACTATAAATACCCGATTAGAGTGAAGATGATAATAGCGGTTAAGAAATAGTTGGTCTGATAGTAGAGTAGATTATTGACCACTCGGTGGTTCCACTTCTCCAAGTCCTTGAACTGCGGCAATTGGAACCGATTCAGTGACAATAGGTAGTCATCCAGTGATCTGATGGGCGATAGTGTCATATCCGAAGCCATGTCCGTCTCGTCAGTGCCGGCGATCACCGCCGAGGTATAGGCGCTGTCGGTGTAGTTGTTGTTGTGGTTGGCGTTGGTGTGGAGGCTGTGATGTCTTTGGATAGTCTTCGTGGAGGACTTGGCCGACGGTTTGGCACCACTTCGACGCCTGTCTAACGTCTGGACACGTCTTGTGTCCAATGGATTGCCGTTTGTCTCAAACCTATTGGCGATTAACTGCTGATAACTATCGCTATTATAATAGCTTTTGTTGTAATTATCGACAGTTTTGTCAATCAATTGATTCAAACTATGGTTTAGTTTTTTGATTACATTTTTCATAATAAATGCGGAGATGTGTTGTGTATGCGTTACACAAGTATTGCGTTTTATATCTAAACAAATGCTATTCAATGGGATATTGATATGAATGCACTTTTTTAACCGTATTTTCAATGCTTTTCCACTGTTTGCAGTCATTTAAAAGCACCAAAAACTTTAAATTTTCAGACCAATAGTGC